TTTTCACGAGTTAAATCCATGGTGATGTAGATAACCAATTTCTAAAATGATGCTACAACGTAAAAACAAGTAACAGTCAGATGAAACAAACTGTATTCTACAGTCAAAGAGTTCCATTTTCAAATGTTGTGATTACTTTTTAAATATTGTTTGTTGTAAGTGGCCAGTTCCGGAAACTTATAGTGCGCTTTATGTATAAGCTTCTTGGTCCCGTCTCTTGGTATTGTAAAAAGAACCTTACTTACCCAATTGAAGGAAATCCTGTTACATGTAAACTTCACCACTTTTGGTTCTCATCGTATCTGTACGGAATGCAATGGCATTACCTAGTTCCGAGACAATTTGTGTGATAGTGTAACGCATTATAATTATTTAGTAAATTTACGACTACCTTTTTATTGATAGATTCCTACCTACTGACACGAAAAATATAAACAGCTAAATGGCGATAATTGATAAAATCAGAGAGCAAATCGCGCCTAATGGCTAAAAGACTGCCCTACATTTCAAAACGATTGCCTTTCTTTCAATTCGCCTCTTTTCCACTTTGTGCGTCCGTAGAAATTGATTCCTTTCCACGAAAAAAATTAATCGTAAAAATATAACAATGGTTCGTAGTTGAGGTCAGATAAGCATTATATAAAGGTCAACTATTTCGTCATTTATATTGTTAAGTGGATTCTTAATCATCGTTTTCTTAAATTTTCAGCATCATTCACATTTTGAAATATTCATTTTCAATTGTACGTTATTTAACTTTGCATATACATATAAAACATGTTAACAACAACATTGGTTCATCGATAATACATTCTAAAACAGTAAATTCCCATTCAAGTTAGTCCAAATAACGTCCAATAAAAGCAAATAACGATCCCGATATCGTGGTGTTGTGTTTAAATCGATTTTTTGCACCTAATAAAATGTGAGTGGTGACAGTGGCATACCGGTAGTCGACGCGGAAATCACCAAAATCCGTTACCCACCGCAAGTGGAGCGGTCCGAGAGACCATAAGCAACTATTCCAGCCACTTTAGATTAAGTGGCTATGTAGGATCGTACACTTAGTGCTGTTACATAGGTAGTACCTTACTGCTGTTATTTAGTGGATTATTTAATGTGTTGTTAGCCGTAATTTTATATAAGAGTGCCTAGATAATATTCTATAGTAAAGGAAACGAAGAAACATGTGGATTTTATTTTGTTCTTTATTAATTCGTAAAACATAAACGGCATATTTTTAAACGGCCAAAAACAAATGAGCCAGTGTGTCGGTTCCATAGTCGATAAAAACGGGAAAAACTGTCAAGAAAATGCTGTCGGTTATCACATTAGAGGATGGAAAAAATAGCCTAAGGTTATCACAATTTATTCACTATGAAAACTGGAATATTAATCACTAATGAATGACACAAGAAATAAAGTTTATTTCCGTGTTGCAATTTTAAAACTTTTTTAGATTTCAATTAAAACTACATTATCAATTACAACTACAACAAATACGCTAATATACGTTCAGTTTATGATCCTCGGTAATTCACTGATAACCACTATCCCAAGTGCCATCAAAATTTACAGAAGTATAGTTAATCGGTTAATTCATTGCTAACCAGAAACAACAGTTCAATTTCACGGGATTTAACGGGGGAAGTGAACAGGAAAAATAACTTAAACTACTTAACTTCAAAAGCAGTTTTAAGACTTGAAACAGTTTAAACCTTCAAAGACACATGAGAGTAACGGATTTAATGCAGAGTTCAATTTCATGGCAATCCAATTATTCGCTTCACACTTTGTAGAAAGGCTTTCTGTTGAATATTTCTCATGGGGCTAATCTATAGTCTTGGAACAATGCTGCAAATCAAAACAGCTACGTTGTTTATTTTCCCGTTGACAGCTAGAAGTAGGTTTGTGTTTTTGTGTGACGGTGACGTTCGGCACGACTAAGAACTTTATTATCAATTTATAAGCAAACGGTTTACAAATACGATACTGTATGTAGATTTGTCAGTTTGGTATCTGGAATTTCGAAATTTTAAAACGAATGTATTACTCAAAGATTAGGTCATACGTCCCACTGCTGGGCACGGATCAACACACAGGTGAGGGTTTAGGCCATAGTCCGCCACCCTGGCCAAATGCGGGTTGGGGACTTCATGCGTTTTCCGAGGCTTGTGAACTTTCCTCAAAGTCCATTTCCGGAAAAGCTCATGGTATATTTCAAATTAAATCTCGTACATAAATTCCGAGTAACTCACAGGTGCGAGACCCACGGCTTCGGCTTGAGCGACGGTAGGTCAAAGGTTTGAAGATTCATTAGCTCTTAAAGATTAGGTGCTTTTACAATATCATTTGAATAATTTTGATCAATTTTGCCATAGCGTCCGTATGAGATGCGTAAAGATCGGTGGAAGCCAGTGGGACAACAGTTGTTATAACAGTTCAAATCCTAGTTATGACATGAGTGACGGGACGAACAAGTCGAGCGCCTGATGGTAAGCTACACGCATGTCCATAGCAGTTACAGTGCCACTCAGAGCTTTCCAATAATGTGTGAAAATCTTGAAAGTTTAAATCAGTGTACCGTATATACGCCCTGTTGCCGGACACGGATTTCCTCCAAGGACACGGTTTAGGCCGTAATCCGCCACACTCAATGCAGTTTAGAGCCTCACACGCTTTCCTAGGAAATGTAAACCTTATTCAACATGCATGTTTTATGTTGTTAACTCAAATAATCTTTATTTCATGGGTAAGCAAATCACACTTGAAATCATGTTACGATTTCAAGTGTAATTTGCTGATTAAAGTCTACTACTCATTCGTAAGGCAGACGGGAAATCTGCCTTACGAATGAAATGAATCAATAATATAAACAGAATGAATAAGAAACTCTAGGTATATACTCTTTGTATATAAATTTACTTTTTTTATATATCAAGTGACAGGTTGAACAGGTCGTGCGCAAGGTGGTGAGCAACGCGCCCACATGTTATAACAGTTACAATGCCACTCAAAGCTTGAAATTTCTAAGGTCTAAGGTAGCAGTAGAGCTCCTTGTGAAAGAGATCGTTCAGGGAAGCACTGTCAACCTAACTATTTCTGACGCCAAGCAGTAATCTGAGCAATGTTGCTGGTGAAATTACAGGTACATGGGACTTGTCAATTTATGTCTTAAGGTAACAGGCGCAGTGAAATAGTTAAATTCGAGACTTAATCGTGTGTAAAAAACATAATCGTATACACGGTGTTGATTAATAACTCTAAAAATTAATGAACTTTCTAAACTAAATTCTTATTACCTTTTAAAGTTTTGAGATTGTTTAGACTCTCTCATGTATCTTACAATTTTTTTATTTACGTTTGATATATTTATTTATAGTTTAATTTTATACATTAATTTAACTACAGATTTTATATGAATCAACATTTACTTTATATATACTGCAACTGCCTCCGTGGCCGAACGGTTACCATACTGACACGCAGAGGTTCCGGGTTCGGTTTCCGGGCTGGGAGAAATATTTGTATGGTCTACATTTAGTTCGGGTGTAATTTGTGGTTGTCTATGTATGTGATCATGGCACCCGTGATATAGGGTTTCCCTAGAGCGGGGCTATGAGTGTGAGCACGCGTTATATGTGTATTCGTTAGTACATTTGATATAATTAGTTTATCTGTATAATTATTGATTATGCAGCATTCAATTTCCGTATTTATTTACGTATTATTACCAAAAATCAACTTTCCTTTCAGTTATACAAAGGTTAGTTAGAAGAAATCCCTTCATGGGATAAGCTTGCCTTTGTACACTAACATTCCTAAATTGTTAAAATTCGGTCGTAATTATAATAATAAACACGTGCACATTCTCGTAGCCCCGCACCAGTGCAACCCTGAATCGCGGGTGCCATGGACCCACACATAGACAACCACAAACTACACCCAAACTCACGAGAGGAATAAATGTAGGCAATACAAATATTTCTCCCGGCCCGGGAATCGAACTCGGGACCTCTTGCGTGGCAGTTCAGTATGATAACCGTTCGGCTACAGAGGCAGTTAAAATTATCTAATGTTACGTTTATAAATGCAATCGAATACTATTTTTTAAATTTAATCGTTTTTATTATTACATTTAATAGCACTAAAAACAAAAATATTACAGAAGAATATAAATTTAAATAAGTTTCTCCATATACCGCTAATTCGTCGTTATATATAGTATGTGCGTTTTCGTACTGATGCGCGTTGACATTCCTTGTAGTGTGCGTGAGAGTCGTTAATAAAGGGTGTCACTAAACCTATATTTGACCTTTGTACATCTCACCGTTGAACACGAATCTCTTCTGCTAAAAGGTCATGTACAGTATTTTAATATGAAATTTGCAGTTAGTTACAACATTTACGTAATCGGGTAATTGAATTTGTGTGTCAAGAGGACAGTCCATATTCCGCATAGATGCGGATTTATTTGCGGCGGCGCACCTCTTACCCATTTTTTTGTCAATTTTAGGGGACAGACGTGCATCGGTGCCAACACAAAGTGAATTGAATAGCGGTTCTTCGCCAACCACAGGGCTAATGTGAGGCCAAGAACTTCGCTCTCCTAAATTCTGCGCTTCAAATAAACACAAGTTTAGTAGTTACCAGCCTTATGTGTACGTGAGGTAACGGTAGTGTCGTACAATATTGTGGATTTAGTAACACAAGTAATTAAATCTAAAGACTTTCATTAACACTTGGAGAAAACAGTTTTCTTCACACATCAATCATCATCTCTCTTCTCTAATTACTAATTATCAACTACATGTTAATTGTTACCAATAAAATGTGAGTAAGTTTGGTCGTTTTGCTAGTTGCTTTTAGTTTTCCTCATTTAACCCTATTGCATAGTCGCTCAGGAAATGGTAGTTTTGTATAGAGTGCAGGCTGCATCTGCATTGCAAGTCGCGACCCGCAGGGCGGCATGAAGTAGGTGAGCGGTGGTTGGTTGCGTTCGTCTAAGTGCGCGCGCAGTCCCGTTCGCATCGTCGTCGCGGCCGCACGCGCACGCTGCGCCATGACTCGCCTGCACCTCGTACTGCTCGCGCTCGCCGCCCTCGCCGCCGCCGCTGCCGCTGAACCACCGCGACCGCGCCTCATTGACTTCAACCCCTGGGCATGGATTCCCACCAATCGAAACCGCTCCCCGTCCATCATGGATTACTTTTTCCCGCCATCCCGGACTCCTAAACAATCTAGTCTAGATCCGCCTGCTGACCGACAACCCCCCAAAACGACAACTCCTATCCAAACTCCACTCCCGACCACCATAGAGGAACGCTCTACTACCCTCGCGAGAAAAGTCTCGAATAAAACAAAATCGACCGTGCCTGCGACTAACCCCACCGCGACCGCGCCTCCTAAAACAAAGAAAAATTCCTATAAAACTACCGTGCCCGTTACTACAACTGAGATGAAAACTACGCAAACGGCTACAACAATTCAAAACACAAAAACCTCACAACATACAAAAAACACACAAACTACTAAAACTGAGCTGCCTACTACCAGGCCTACGACTTTACCCACGACTTACCGATCGACGAAGCATTACACGATACGGCCATTTGTGCGAACCACGGAAATGCCAACAGTTCAAGATACGGAGACAACTTCGAACAGCGATAGTACGGAGACATTTTCCGATTTTGATACTTCGGGAACTACAGCGGAAGGCCCGAAGGAAACCGTGCCCACGCTGAGCACCGCCGCGGAGTCGCGCTCTACCGACCCCGGTACTGCAAGCACGGCATCTGTGGAGTCCACCACTGAGACGGACAGCACAGCGGAACCGGCCGATAGCCGCGAGGGATACCTGCCGCTGCGGGACAAACCGCAGCCGCAGACGCACGTCAAAATCAACGAGCAAACGAAGAAAGAGGTCAGTGATTTAACAGTGTTTCTGTTTTCTAAATCGGTTACAGTCCAACAGCCTGCAGTTTTCTACAGTCATTGCTTATGGCAGTCATCGTGGTTAATGACACATTTGCTTTTGCCATGCAAATTTTGTGGAGTTAGGAAACGTAACATATGGATAAAACGTCAAAGCCGGATGCCACCCCCCAGCCTACCGATAAATAAGGAGGCGCACATATATTTCTCTTAATGAGCCCTTAGAGAAAGGTTACTGCATTCACCAGCTTGCAGTGCGTTCCCACATTACTCGTGCAAATTGATATGAATTATGTATTTCCTAGCAGCTCGATGAAGTGGCTCAGAAATTAAAAATAAAAAACAATTGTAAGAAAACGATGCGTTACGCCCTGTGCCTACTGTAAACTGAATGTTAATACTGTTTAGCTATGGTTTTCCATAGTAATTTAATGGTTATCAATAATGACCGTTTAAAGATAGCTACATTTCCTATTACTTCATCTCTCCATATGAATTGGTTGCAGATAGCAGTAGTCTCAACAAACATTGTATTAAATGGTAACAGGAAACTGTTAACCAGTGGGTTCAAGAATCATGAAAGTAGTGACTTTCATGATTCTTGGAAACTATTACAAAACTTTAAACTTTGTATAAAATATATAACAATTTAGATTTTCATCAACCAAAAAGAACCCTTTTTAAAAGAGTTCTCACAAAAACAAGTTCTCCGAAACACATTTGCCTAAAAAATCAGTACAATAGAATCAAATACACTTTAAGTCAACGATACCCAAGCCATTGTTAGAAAAATCGTCTTTTTTCACGCAAAGTTAGTCGAACCAGTTCAGCAAAATGAGAAAACCTTGTTGGGACATTAATTTTCACTGATGAGCTGTTGGGTTTACTTGCGATTTCTAACTCGGAATTGTCAGATATGAAAATGTACATGAGCAAAGAAAGCTGGTTAATAATGGTTTTCTGTAAGAGCCGTAGACAATGAAAGAAAGACTTAAGATAAAAAGAGGTGACATTGCACGGAAGGTGGTACTTTCGTGTCATTAGCAACATTGTGGTCGCGTTGCGGCAGACGCCCGCAAATTTTTGGACAGAAACAAATTTAGTTTAGATTTAAAAGACACAGTATTCAAAAGGTAAACTTTCACTCTTACGCAGCCTATCTATTATAAGCAATGAATGAGCGACTATTTTGTAAAGGAACTATCTTTCATCATCGTTGTCGCTAATTGATTTCAAAGTGGGCATGTGTCATAGCTTTTATTTTGGATGACTGAAACTTCCTATTCTTAACAATTCCTTCCGCAATTCTAAAACCACACAGGTACAAATATTTTACACGTACTTTGAACCCATTTTCTTTTCATTATTCAAGTTTCTTTCATTTAATTTTCATTATTCCAGACAAAAGCTAAAAAAAGCTATTCAATATAATGCTCACACAGGTTACTTTTCTCGTCATTTGAAATTACGTTATTGAATCTTAACATGAAAAGTACAATGACGTAATTACTGTAACGAGATGAAATGTTTGAAGTGATAATCTATTTATAAATATTTCTTTTTTACTTAATAGAAATGGCATAAAAAAAATTGAATCGTAAGGATGTTTTTAAAAGCCTTAACGCGAGTGCGATGTAGCAAAAACTGTATCTTGATAACGACACACTGCAACGCCCTTTCGATGCATACGTTTGGCCATGTTGGTCGTCGCCGTCTTATTTGCATTTGAACGTAAATTATCTTTAAATGACGATAAATAATCTTATTAGCAAATGAAGAAAGAGCCACTAGTTTTTTTTTTATGTTGTGAATAAGTAATTCAAAATAGAATGCATAAAGGTGTATTTAACAAAAAAATTACACTTTTTAACGACGTATTTTCTAAATACTTAACAACCCAAGTGATTTGTTACGCGACTTCTTTTCTGAATTGTTTAGAGTTTTCACACCCATAATTCGCGTTTGGGAAAGGAAAGATTTCTTTAAAAGAGATTTATGGTCATATATTAGAAACACCCAAATTGGTGAACGAAACATTTAGTGTAATGTCATAATTTATTTTTAAAGCCCTATTGTTACATAGACACTCTTTCAAGAAAAGAATTGAAACACTGAGAATGGTGGTAAGTTGCGCTTCATTACGCTGATTTATTTCCACGGTATGCCTTATCGTAGTCACATAAATGTTTGTCTTTACATGCGCTGTCGTTTGCACACATTATCAAATTGAAAGGTGAAATTATGAAGGTTTGATGTCAAATTCTGCATCTGATTAACTTAGTGCATTTATGCCTCGTGACTAGTGACTGTATGTGTAGTTTATAGCTAGGTTTTATAATTGATATTGCTTTCATAAAATTCTAAGCACGAAGTCAATTTGTTTAAATTGTGTTGGGCGGCGTAATTAAAAAAGGCTTCATTAATACTTTGGAATGTAAAACTATACACAGGGGCACATTTAGTGGAACAAAAGGAAAGTGAGAATATAAAATAGTAAAGTTTATATTTAAACAAATAAAAATTTGACACAAGTAACAATTAAATTAACATTTTGTAACGTTGGCTTAGACAACCTTACTCAACCACTATTGAAAATAAACTGAAATTAAAATAATATGCATTCTTTTTCAACTCTGTGGCAAAACGGAAACGGTTGAAAATTTAAAAATTGTTTGAATAAATCAAAGTTTAATTAATAGAAAAAATTCCAACTAAAGTTTAAACCTCCAACCTCAACCTTCAACTTCGACAAACCTGTATTAGCCGAAAATGAAAATGAAAAAAGAAATTGCATTGTTTTCGGGTTTTCCTAGTGTTCCGCTAAATGTACCGGTGTGTGTATGATACTGAATAAAGTTTTACCAGAAAGAAAAATAAATACAATTTTCAAGTTACGTAGAAATAAATTATTTTTAGCTAAGTATCAGAGCTCCTAGGAACTTTCATATGTTGAGTGTGTGCGTTATTATTATTATTATTATATCACAAAATATGACACAGTGGACACGATGCTACTTGACCTAGACTGCCGTCCTTACCATAAACAATATAAGCGACATTTTTAGCGAAAGTGAGTTGTTAACATTGGAACCCTCTATAAGCGGTTTTTTTGTATCTTATTTAGTTTCAGTTTTATGGTTGAGTCAATACTAGTTCAGCTCGAATTCAATTTTTTTCCGTACTGAATCGGTTAAATTGCGTGGGTCGAGCGGTTTATTTTAGGTTTAATTTTTTTACAAACGAAATTAAAGCCGTTTGAAAAATGTATATCGTATACTATAGGAAGTACTATTTAGTTCAACTGATATAAAAAAATCATCGGTGTTTGTAAAGTACCTATGGAATACAGCGATTTTCTTGTAAAATTTCGTCACAAGTTTATGTTCTTTTTTCTATCGTGAAAATTTTTAGGAATCGTGTTTTCACACCCTATACTAATCAATGTACGTCCAATTTACTACATATTTTTCCAGACTGATTGATTCAACACTTTCACTGTTATGTGGAATCAACTAAAGCCATTTGAGGTTGTATCAACAAAATAACTTACTTATGAGAAGGAGAGCAGTAGAGTTATTAGAGAACTAACAGACATTTATTACACATAATTTCCTAATTATTGAACCGTAACATTCGTAATAACGATGAATTGGTCTCACTTTCATTGTGCTGATACATTCGAATCCAAATTGTGCAAAGCTACTGTATTAACTCGGCATTAATTAAAAATTTTCGCTTTCGCAAAGTAAATAATTCCAAAAGGTCGTCTCGATACAATCGTGTCTAATTAATCAGTACGCATTACTAGTAGAAAGTCGATAGATATCTACCGCGGAGAAAGGGTACGTAAGGTATGAATAAACTGGGTTGGGATAGTGAATTGCATCGTTGAAAGTGCTTCAGTGAACACTTGATTTTACGACATCGTCAACGGGCGATGAACAACGCATCGAACTGAAGGTTTACGCTTTCTATAGAATAACTGTACAAAATGAAGGTAATATTATAATGAGAAAATGATGCAAGAAACATTATAAACGCCTGAACTCGTGTCGACGTAAATGTTAATAATTCAGAGACGATAAAATGGCTAAATCTTTTGATCTTTGTAATAAATAACGTAATGCGCATTTCCAAAAGGATTATCGTGACTATTTAATAAGAAAGATCAAAATTCAAAACAATATAATTTCAAAACTTTCATTCACGAATTTCGAATTATTAACATTGCATAACAATTATGTATACAAGTTTGTAACAGTCAATAATTAAATAGCAACGAAAGAAAAGCGTGCAAACAAATTGCATAACACTATCTCACAATTGGTAACAATTAAAATTGTAAATATTCAGCAATGTTATGAAGAATGCAGTGTTATTGTGGATTAATTACAAATGTTACATTAGAGCTACATTAAAAGCTTTCGCTGACAAAATTTTGCGTTTACTGTAAATTGCTGCACACAACAATCTTGTCACTCAGCGAAATTACTGTAACGCTTTGCTACGTGCATACTCGTTTGTAGCACACGATATGTATGTTAATGGAACGGGGCAAGGCGTGAAAATATCGAATACTCAGATCTTATTACCAATATCATTATCTACAACTGCAATGTTACAGTAGAATCAAACTCCACCGCTAGGCGTAATGATATCCTTCATAAAGTTTTTGTACATATTAATTTTCTGCGATCAAGATAGCGTTGAATTGAGCATATGAGATAGAAGATGGGGCGGATGACAGTTATGTAGGCTCCGGCGCGGCGTCCCGGCTTATTAATTAGTTTCTGCATGTTTTGATACCTGAAGGTAACTAATAAGTTTTGTAGATAAATGTCAAGGGACTAGAAGTAATCAACTAAATTGTCTTAATATTGCATATATTAATTGATTAAAATACTATATTAACTGATGAAACTTTAAGGGATAACAGTGCTGAAACAATAATAAAAATGTTTACACTTACATGAGCAAAAATTCAGTTTA